CACCTTCTCCTCAACCTCCTCAAGAGTCACCAACTCCATCACCTAAGCAGTCCTCACCTAAACAACCTTCACCCTGCAAACCCATAACCTCCATCAGAAACCGATCCCCCTCACCCCCTCCTTCCCCACAACATCAGAAAACCCCTGACTCTCACATCTCACCCCATCAGAACTCCACTCCTCAGAATTCTCCACCGGCTCCTCCACAAAAATCATCCTCCTCTCCTCCAATGCAAGTACAGACTCTTGTCCACAATCAAGGTCCATCCAAGGGCTTCATGGCAGAAGTAGAAGTGGTTGGACAACAAATTGCAAAGGGCATGGAGAAGATCCTAGATGCTGAGTATGAAACTGATGCTCGTCTCACCAGTATCAGCAACCATCTCTCAAAGGGCATATCCTTACTACTAAAACATGTAGGCATCATTGCCACAGCCTTTGAGGCTCACAAGGAGAAAACTGCAGAAAACCTGGGAAACATTGCTAAGGAAGTGGATGGAATCAATGTTGTCCTATTTCATCACACCAAGGCTCTTGAAGAGCAGGACAAAGCAATCAAAGGCATCTCTGATTCCATTAATGATCTCCAATGGTCCTCTGATAAAGCTCGTCAGGAGTTCCAAGATGTTGAAGGACTGTGCAAGGATACTAAAGAACTCACCGTTAAATTGATCAATAGTGGAAAGGACAGAGATCACAAGTTGACTCTCCTTGAAGCTACTACCAAAGATATTCAGACTGCTGTTGACAAACAGAAAGAAATCATTGAAGGACTGGCTTCTGTCACTCAGACTCTGCCAAGTGCTCTTGAAGTCATCAAGGAGAACCAGGCCTCCGAATTCTCTAAGATTGGACTCCTGCTTGATGATCTTGCTGATGCCAAAAAGGGGGAAAATACTAGAGAACATATCAGAACTGCAGAAGGATCAAGCACCAGAGCTCTGACTCCCATCTCTGGTACCCCTGATCCTGCTATATACTTTGAGAAGACCAGGCAGAAGCAGATTGCTGCTGGTATTCAAAGACCTCCTCCTCCTCGGTCCAAGAAAGGGAAGAAATCGGCTGCTACCACCTTCACACTACAACAATGGCTCAACAGTGACCTAGCCAAGCCTGATGCAGCCCAGTTCCAAGAAATGAAGAAACACATGACTCCCTATCAAAAGGAGAATCTGATTCTAGATAAAGATGGGCTAATAATCATTAACCATGGTGGCTCTATGCAAGAAGCAGAAGACTGGTGGCGAATGAAAGTGATCCCTGGCAAGGACCTATCAGAAGCCATCAGAAATTATCTTGACTGCAAGCTTGAACCTGCTTGGTCAGAATATCAGAATCCCAGGAATCTTGCTACAATCAGAGCTAGGGTAAATGCTGATCTGAAGGAAATTGAAGCAAAGGAAGCTGAACTAGAAGAGGAAGATATCTAAACTCTATCCTCTTGTTGCTTTTAATACTCTTCTTTAATAAGATAACCAGCTTGCCTCTATTTTGCATGGCAATTTCAAATTCTTTCTACTTGCACTCTGATTATTTATGCTCTGATACCTTGTGTTATTTCTTATCTTACTTATCTGATTGATTGTATCTTACTCTTACTATTTTCCTATGCCAAGTGCCCACCAAGATTCTAAATGAAAGTTTTTTTTTAACTTATTTTCCTTGATGGTGAAAGGCACTTCTCTGGAAATAGTTTAAGGGTTTTGGCATCATCAAAAAGGGAGAAATTGTAAGGAATAAATGTAATTAGATTTTGATGATGCTAGGTTATTTAGATTAGAATTTTAGAGAACCCCCAATTAGATTTTATGTATTAGAATTTTCAATTGTAAGTATTAGTGTAGTCGACGATCAGAGTTGCTCTGCTTTGGATCAGATCAGAAGTGCATCAGAATTGCTCGACCAGACTTGCTCTATGAGAACTGCTCCATCAGAGTTCTCTTATCAGAAGTCCATCAGAATTGCACCATGAGAGTTGCTGATAAATTTGGACATCTGATAACCGATGAGAGTTACAGATCAGAGTCAGAGTTAGAGTTCAGTCAGAGATCAGAAAGCCATCAGAATCCAACACATCAGAAGATCCTGATCAGAGCCCGACTAACACTTAGAAGATTTCAAGCAACATCCAACAGGTAAAAACATCCAACGGCTAGAAGACTGTTCATGAAAGGAAAGCATTTAATGCACATTAAATGAGCCTGATACGCTGAAGGATTGATTGCAAATGATTGACCAAGGAATCCGGGAAGATATATTATAAAAATAGAAACCTTCCAAAACGGCGGTCAAGTCAACAGTACGCGCATTTAATGCAGTTGTCTCCTCCTCCAACGGGCAGACAACCTCAGTATATAAGCTACTCACCGAAGAACAGAAAAATAACTTTGCTACAACTTTTTGCTCTGAACTTCATACAACAAGCATTCTTGAGATTCAAACTCCACAACACAAATACAAGAAAAGGCTTACGTTGGGAAGATTCAACCTCACAATCTCTCACCCCCAACAAGAGCAAAGTTCATCCTGTTCTTCAACTCTTCAAGATCCTCATCAAACATCTTTTGTGACGAAGCAAGTTGGAGGAAAAACTTTGTTTTTCAAAGGATCTTCTGAAAAGAAGGGCGTCCAAGTAACTGCAGTAGTGAAGTGGTGATACTTCCGGGAAGCTGAGTGAAAGGACCAGCCATCAGGACGTGGAATTGCATCCTGGGTGGCATCTAGACTTGAAGAAGACGAGGAGTGCTTCTTAAGTGCTAGGGATTAGCTTTCTAACCGATCTACTTCAAAACTAGTGGAACAGTGGACTAGAGGAACGCGTTGTTCCTTGAACTACTATAAAAATATCCGGTGTCATTTACTTTACTGCAATTTATATTTCTGCACTTAGGACATTAACTGATTAACTCTAAGACTTGGAATCTGTGTTCAGCAGATCTTGTTTTCAGAGTTATCAGAAAGGCATTTGCCTTAGTGTTTCTGAGGCTACCCGGACAGATCAGAATCCGCTGCCAAGGCCAGTTCTGATATCAGAACCAGCCTTTCTCTGTCACCAGAATCAGACCTTCTCTGATAAGTCACTTTGGACTTAGAGAAAATTTAAAAAACCAATCAGTCTATTCACCCCCCCTCTAGACTGATTACCATATTAAACGGGACCAACAATATTTCTACATACCCAGGCATCCAACTTTCAACAACAAGCATGGTCAAAGTCTAAACAGTTTCGGATCTATCTTTTATTAATCAGAGGTATTTTTAAAATAATTATTTATAGAAGTTTCTTATAATGACAGTGGAATCCATCTTATATTTGTTATTTTTTATATATCAAGGGTGACTGGACCTACGGAACTATTCATAAGGAATGCGCAGTCGAATTTAGGGATAGACAGATAGGGAAGTTTGTACATTCTAAGAAATTTCATTGTTACTCCTAACACACTGCTTTTAAATCATAATAATTTGCGTAAGTGTTTGATTTCAAGGTGGATTGATTCTAGTTAGCCGGGGATATGGACATATGGTTGATATCAAAACAGTAGCAGATTGGTACAACTCGGTGTGCAAGTAATGCACACGAGAGTTCTGAAAAGTGTTGAAGATTTGATTGTCCTATCATGCAGGGCTGTCTAGAGCAAATATGAGGCCCTAGACACTTATATAGACATTATGTTTAAATATGTTATTTAAACAGAAATAGTTGAGCAGTTTATTTAAAGCAAATTGCTTATTGTTTTATATTGATAGAAAAACTCTGAACATATATGGTACACCAAAAAGGTTGTTCAGCCTCTTAGGCATGAAAATCGAGAGCTTGGTTCAAGTTCAAAATCATAGACCAAAAACAGTAGACTTTGCCTTTTGTGTTTTGAAGCTTATAAAGTCTAATATCATATTAAAGCCAATGGGCGATGGGGGAAAAGTCAGGTTCTTAGAAATTTGATATGGTAATATTGTCTTTAAGATTTTGTTGGGGCAAATGAACCATATGTGACAGGCATGGAAGTTAAGGCTACCCCAACACTTCAGGCAAGAAAAAAAAGGAAAAGAGCAGCAATGGTTGAACATGAAGATTCATTCAGATTTCAGAATGAGCAAGAAACCTATATTAGTTTGAGAGAAATATAGGTTTGACATAAAAAACAAGAAAAGAATTTATGGAGATGGTCATTCAAACACAATTAGTTTGACATCAAGAAAAGACTTGAGGAGAAACAGATTGCCATGATATATATACTCCGTATTAGTTTCCTGATGTTAGTTTAATATTGGCTTTAAACAATCAATATATAGATTTCTAATTAATAGGTTCAGTTTGACTCCAGGTTCTAGTTTCAAACTTTCATGGGCTAATGCGTATATATAGCTCTGTTTAATTTTTAATTCTAATTAGTTAAGTAGGGCTCATGTTTGATTCTGAGCAGAATATATTGGGTGTTATCTTTCATATCAAGAAACTTTTATTTTGATATAACAGGCAGAAACCAAATCAAGAAAACAATGGTTGGGAGCTCAACTCTGAAAAGAATTATCAAGGGTTGAAAAAACTACTCCATGATATTTAGAATAGCCATGGTCCTCTCTATTTGGATTGGGATCCTCTACCCGACTAGGAGGGTACCTTGCGCATAGGACGGGAGGGGAGCAGCCAACACGACCTCGAGATCGGCGAAAAAGTGGAGCCCAAGATCTCCGACCGTTGAATTGTCGATCGGACGACCGGGACGAAGCAAGGCATTCTACCTTACTCTAAAGTAAGGTAGAGGCTCCGGATCCTATCTATTTATCACGGGACTAATTACTATTGTATAAAATGGGTTAGAATTACTTTAGACGCATCTAAAACTGGAAAAGAATACACCTTTTGTTTTCTCGATTGGTTATATATATATATTGTTTTTGTTAGCTTACACTTCTTAAATTTGTCTACATGAGGGGTTTGATGGGTTTTATAAGTGAAATCTAAAACAACATAGGAAGGCTGCAACAAAGTCACTCTGGTATTACATAGGAAAGGAACAGAAAGGAAATTCTAAAACAACAAACTGGCCCATGCAGCAATAAATGTGAAACCTCCTAATGGTGCTAGCTTAGAATACTTCCTCTCCTGTGTAACACATCCCAAAAAATGCAACAATTTCGGTTGTCAAAAGCCCTCCAAAAATGTAGGGTCGTTTGGTAATAGGAGAAGCAACCAGAGTTGATGTGTGAACCAAGTGATATAGTGAGGCAGTGTGCCAAACCTCTTTGTATGTAGGGTTCTTGGACTTGAATCCATGATTAGCTACACGGCCTACACCATATATTGCAGCGATTTTGTGCCACACGTAAAGATCCATTATTCCCTTTATTCTTTTCCTTCATTTCTTTTTTTCCTTATTTTCCTTCAATTCTGCTCTCTGTCGAAAAAAATAAATTATTTTAAAACACATAATTAATTAGTCACAATGGCCTATGCATTTAATTTAATGCTCTCCTAACAAACTTTGTTTTTTCTCTGCCTATTGATACAGGTGCTTCAAAGTTTTTCATCAGAGCAGGTAAATAATGATAGAATCTCCAATTCTGTAACAGTAAACAACGAAGACGATACAAATGAGGCACTTCGAGAGGCACTCAACTCTCCAGAACCCAAATTCCCGATTCCAAAATCAGCCTACCTCCTTCCCCTCCTTCCCTCTCTTATAGCATTTCTATTCTAACGGCCCAACCCATGTTATATGACATGGCCCAGAATACTTGTTTATACAATACCATACTTATTTAATATCAATCTATCACTATCATCATCATCATCATCATCATCATCATCGTCATCGTCATCGTCATCGTCATCGTCATCGTCATCGTCATCGTCATCGTCATCGTCATCGTCATCGTCATCGTCATCGTCATCGTCATCGTCATCGTCATCGTCATCGTCATCGTCATCGTCATCGTCATCGTCATCGTCATCGTCATCGTCATCGTCATCGTCATCGTCATCGTCATCGTCATCGTCATCGTCATCGTCATCGTCATCGTCATCGTCATCGTCATCGTCATCGTCATCGTCATCGTCATCGTCATCGTCATCGTCATCGTCATCGTCATCGTCATCGTCATCGTCATCGTCATCGTCATCGTCATCGTCATCGTCATCGTCATCATCATCATCATCATCATCATCATCATCATCATCATCATTATTCTCTACAGCCCAGGGCCCTATCATATCTCCCCCCTTGAAAAACCACCTTGTCCTCAAGGTGGGTGATAGGACAAAGCCTTGATCTTCAACTTCATCTTCATCCGAGCACCTCTTCCTTCCCAGTAGCTAACTGATGGCGGAATCATGAGATTGCTTGACTGAGAAACACACTGATTTTCGGGATCATTGTAATTGTTTTGTTCCTCATGATCAGATGGTTCTGTTTGATCTTTTCTTTCAATATCTTTTTCTGGATGTGCTGGCTGCGAATTGGTTAAACTGCCAATGCTGTTAGTCATTAAAATAATGTGTCCGCCTTTGGTTAAGCACCAAGAAAGTTCTTCCTCACTTTCATATGAGATTCCACCTTCTAGTTTCACAGTGCTTTGAGGAAGACCCATAGATGCCATAGTAGATAAGACCAGAAATCTTGAGCTAGAGGGACTGTACATTAGAAACAAAACTGAGGGTGAACCAATATCAAACAGAACAACCTGGCAGCTTTCAAGTCCCATAACCCATTTGGATCCTGATGCCATGGACTGCCAGATGCATACTGGGGAACTGACAAGCGAAAAGATAGCGGTGCATTGATACCAAGCACCACTTGGGAAAAGGGAAACTTCAGCGTTGGGTTCAATGAGCAAATGCAATCTTGCTTTCTGAGAGCCAGAGTTGCTGCTAAGCATGTCATAGGGAACTTGGACAGATTCGTTTCCAATAGCAACACTAAAAAAGTTAGTGGAAGAGTCTAGAGCTGTTGTAACTGCACTAGTACTAATGCTTTCCAAGCTCTTCACAACAGATACGATAGCCCTAAAGTTGTAGAACCACACAGACTCATCATATTCAACACCTTTATCAAAATTCTCTTTTTCCAGGATATAGTCATTCTTCACCCTATAACCCTTCATGTAAGAGTAATCCTTATTATCATAAGCTGACCCTACTGCCTTTGGGTAATTTCCCCCAAAACCCGCTCCTTGTGCACATATTTCTCCAAGCAATTCCCTTGACCTTGTCTCGCCCTGAAAAATAGCTTTACAAAACCTTGATAATGCTTTGGCATGGGTATACCCCACTCCCTGAACTGCTCCTTCACTGGATAAAACTGATCTCTGAAAGTTCAGTTCATGCCCTCCTGTCAAAGTGGCAAGCCACGAGTTGGTGGGTGAAACAAGGTACTTGGGGACATTCAATACAGCAACCTGGATAGTATCGTCCAGATTCACATTGGTTCCACCCCATTGGTATCCTGAATCAAAGCCAATAACATCACCATGGTTCTTAAAATTGTCAACAACACCGATCTCTTTTATTTCATCAACCTTTTCTTCAACACTGCTACCAAAAGTAAAATTATCAGCCCCTTTCAGTCCCATATATGAGAAGTTTAAGGATAGAAGCATGACAATCTTATGTTCATTAGCATCCCTTATGTTCTTTTGAACTGAATGTCCAAAGTAGGCCAAATATTTATCCCCATACCATCTGTCTTCCTCAGAAAGCACTCCTAAAGAATTCCTAACTTTACAACTGTATTTTCCAGGAATGACTTTGGTGAACAAGAATTTACTGCTCTCATTTATTACCTGATTTAGTTTCCTATTGTCCTTGCGTTTTCCATCCATATGTACGAGAGTAAGAGAAGCGAAAGAACTAGGAAATTTTCTTATCATCCCTGCAACAGAACGAATTTCAGGAATATGAACCTGAACAACAGATGATTGTTCCTGGCGTCCATCTTCACTTTCGTTGAGCTTAGATGTATTTTTGTCAAATTGCTTCGAATTCATTTCGTCATAAGGAAGTGGCCGTAGACTCACATAATCCGGAGGATGCGATGTATCAGTTTGCGATGGTGAACTGAAAGAAGTCGTTAGTGACTGCGAAGTGTGAGAAAAGGCTAGAGTTGATGAACTGTGAGATGCTGTCAGCGATTTAGAAGAGACCTGAGACAAAATTTGCGCACAATCAGATTTCTCTCTGGATAGAGTTGCATTCTGACGCGAGTGAATAGCAGATGAAAATGCCTTCGGAATGAGATGCGAACTGAGAGAGGTAGTTCGTATCTGTGAACTAGGAGAAATAAAGGAAGATGCTGGCTGTGATGATTTCTGCGAACTACTGTGAGAAACGAATTGCGATTGCGAGCTAGAAGCTGCTACGCGCGATGAAGTCTGCGAACATGGGGTATTCATTCGCGACTGCGAACCGAAGAAATCGGTCGCGACTGCGAACCAGAAGAAATCGTTCGCGACTTCTTTTCCGGTGCTGAGTGCTTCGTTTCCGATGATCGACGGCTCCTGTCTGTCCGCGATCGATCTCTAGGTCGCTTGCGACAAAACTGACGGGAACTGTCCATAGACTCGTCCATCTTATTCCACATCTCTTCCATCCTTGCTTCCATTCGCAGCAATGTTTCTTTCCCATTTGCATAACTGCGTTCAACAGCCTCCAATCGCCGTTCCATCTTGGCTCTTGTCCGAAACAGTCACAGCTTAGAACGAAAAATTTCTGATGATGCAACGAGAAATCAGGTCACCAGAACGATGCTCTGATACCAATGATAGAATCTCCAATTCTGTAACAGTAAATTGAACAGTAATATTGCGGTAAAAGGCAGAAACAACGAAGACGATACAAATGAGGCACTTCGAGAGGCACTCAACTCTCCAGAACCCAAATTCCTGATTCCAAAATCAGCCTACCTCCTTCTTCCCCTCCTTCCCTCTCTTATAGCATTTCTATTCTAACGGCCCAACCCATGTTATATGACATGGCCCAGAATACTTATTTATACAATACCATACTTACTACGTATTTAATATCAATCTATCACTATTATTATTATTATTATTATTATTATTATTATTATTATTATTATTATTATTATTATTATTATTATTATTATTATTATTATTATTATTATTATTATTATTATTATTATTATTATTATTATTATTATTATTATTATTATTATTATTATTATTATTATTATTATTATTATTATTATTATTATTATTATTATTATTATTATTATTATTATTATTATTATTATTATTATTATTATTATTATTATTATTATTATTATTATTATTATTATTATTATTATTATTATTATTATTATTATTATTATTATTATTATTATTATTATTATTATTATTATTATTATTATTATTATTATTATTATTATTATTATTATTATTATTATTATTATTATTATTATTATTATTATTATTATTATTATTATTATTATTATTATTATTATTATTATTATTATTATAATTATTATTATTATAATTATTATTATTATTATTATTATTATTATTATTATTATTATTATTATTATTATTATTATTATTATTATTATTATTATTATTATTATTATTATTATTATTATTATTATTATTATTATTATTATTATTATTATTATTATTATTATTATTATTATTATTATTATTATTATTATTATTATTATTATTATTATTATTATTATTATTATTATTATTATTATTATTATTATTATTATTATTATTATTCTCTACAGCCCAGGGCCCTATCAAATAATATATTCTTTTCTTTTGTTCTTCTTTTAATGCAAAGTTTCTTTCTTTTTCAGCTAACAATAACTGTTTTTGTTAATTGGTAACATGTATATGAGTATATCACCAACTTTTTTCAGCAATTTTCTTATGGTTTACCCCATCTTTTATTTCTCCTTGAATTGATAAGATAAAAGAGGGCATTTTTATGCTTAGATAGAAAAGATTCTGAAATATACTTTTGAGTTCTTTATGTTTATTTTTCTTATTTAAGTTGACCATTCCAATCAGACTATTTCATCAAAATATGCTTTTGGTATCTTTGGATCCTAGAAAAAGACCGTCAGAGTTCATTCTCATCTGTAGGAGAACATCAGTGTTCAACATCCTTCCATTACAAAGGTGATATCCTTTCTCCTTTTTGGATGTTGGCTTTAGTAGTAGTTTAGTAATATTTGAATATACGCTCTTGCAAAATATTTTTTGGTGCACCAAAAACAAACATGACTTTTGAATTCTAGTGTTCAATAATTGCATATTTGTAGCTTCATTAATTATCATCAGATATCAACTCCTTTATTTGATATATTTTTGTATTTGATGTGATATTATATTCTCGTGTACAACTGCAAAGCCTCTAATAAGAAGGTGCAAGGGGTTATTGTCTTCTCTGTTCCTTTGTCTCTTTAGATTGAAAATAAAATATAGATTTTTCCCCCCATATTTCTAATCTATTTTCATTTACTTTGATATGTTATATTAGCAAAGCTTGCGGGAAGTAACATTGAGTTGGGCTTTTTGACATAAATGACCTATTGAAACTTCTACCTGGAGAAAATGCTTTCCCACCTGTTACATTAGAGAGGCACTGGTGATGATAGTTTTCATGTGAAAGTAGTCAAGCAGATATTGTGAGTTGAGGGGGTCCGTTATGAGCTGCGTGAAATTTTTGGGATTGGCAAACCAAATGAGGCAGCCATAAACGATGACTCACGAAAAGAATGTGTCATTTGCATGACTGAACCAAAGGATACCGCAATTCTGCCTTGTAGACATATGGTAAGAGTATACTCTTTTAATACGTGCAGACTACACTTTTTAGTGTAATTCATGAAGAATGGCATGTCACATGATATCTCTCGGTGTAGATATAGTTGTTAGAATATCATTAGTGGTGCACTTGTTGTCTATGTATGGAGAGACTCTTGCTGTTTGATTAGCATATTAAATACTTAGATAATTATATTCTTCATTTGTTATGCAAGAGATTTGCCGTGTTTGAGGAGTATACAAGCACTTCAAGAGATTGAGTATTTAGCTAGTGACCTTTGCAGTGACCATCGAGTGGATGATTGATTGAAAAACTTTACCTTTTATGAAATTATCTTGTTACTACATTTCCATGTTTAGAAGCCAGACAAATGTACAATCTAGTTATTTTGTTGTCTTTGGGTTATCTTTAGAAGACGTAGGTTGTTACATGTGAATTCTAATAAATAATCTTTATTTTAAATATCAATTTTTTTTTTGTAGTGATATTCAAGGTGTTAGTATTTACGTACCAAAAGAGAGTTTCATTGCACAAAATATCATAGGCAATGACACACTATTTGTATAACTACAATGTTTGGACAGTGAAAAATCTAAAGTTTGTTGCACAAAAGAGTTGCATGGGAGATGGTTTATTTGTTTCCTTGCACAATGGACTCTCATGGGCCGCGAAATTAGGTGTTGCACAAACAATGTTTTGGGCAACTTAGTTGAGTTTATAGTCCAAAGTAGCATGTGCCATGATGATTATACAACGACCTCGTGACGAGTTCATTATTGTTGCGCATGGGCACGCAACAAATTATCAATTTTGAGCAACAATTTTTTTCGTTGCCCAATCTATTTTTTCTTGTAGTGACTTGCCCCCCCATCCAAATTACTCCTCATTAGTGGACTTAATTACTCTCCTTAAAAATTGTCCTAATAGTAGGACTAAATGGAGTAAATGGAAACTTAATTGCACAAATAGGACTAAAACTCAAATCATTAACAAATAAGACTAAACATTAATTTTTTACCTTATTACTCCTACAAGTATTAATTCATAATAAAATGTTTTAATTCATAATAAAATGGTAAAAGAAGTAATAAAATTCGTAGTATAATATTTAAAAAATAAAAAATGAATAAAATTCGTGAGAACAAAATAAAAATTAAAAAGAATGGCTAGTGGATTCTTATTTAACAACGTATGGTTTGGATCATTTCCCACTAGAGGTCTGGAGCTATGCCATTGGCTTCCAATCATTAAAGTTATTACTTAAAAAAAAACAATCATTTCCGCCAACGGTTCCTAATCCAAAATTTTCATTTTTGCCCTAGTTCATCCAGAACAGTGGAACACTATCTTCCGAATGGGAACTCTCGTGTTTTTGCATGGCTTGTTGGAAACTTGTTTCGTCATTTTCAACCACAAACCATATTTTGGATTATGATTATAGTCCAATTAACATCCTCCCATCGTGCCGTCCGGTCGGTGTTGGGGGCCCTCAGGGATGAGGTGTCATCCTTTTTTTTTTTTTTTTTTTTTGGAATTGGCAAATAGGCTACAACTTACATGTCACTTTCCAACCACAAACATTATTTCGGAAAATGCAATTTGGACTGGACCTTTTTTATTTATTTAAAAATTCATATCGGAATTGGGAATTCCGAATGGATGTTGTTTGTTGTATTTATTCGAAAGCCGTCGGAAAAGCCAATAATTCCAATTTCCAAATCCCGCTTTTTTAGAAACCCTAGAATTAGTCTCGTGATTTTGCAATATCTTTATCTGTCTAGCTCGTTTTCTAGCTCTGCTAGTCCGCTAACTCATATCAGTCACAATTTCTTAGCATCCAAATTTCTGCCCCCTTCCCCCGATTGGGATCTCTGCCCGACTAGGAGGATGTGATGCGTACTATTTAGTAGTGCATAAACACCACATTTAGAATGATTTTATATTATGTTTACTTTACGGTGTAATCTTTATCTTCTAAAATTAAAGTAGAATTAGAAGATATTAAGATATTTTGAGATGTAAGCAAAAACATGATGAAAAAAAGAGGAAGGAGCTTGGGAGTATAAAGAAGGAGCATTGGAGACAAGAGGAAGCTTCATGGAGGACAAAGAAATGTGAAAAATCGGATATGATTTGACCCGGATATCATAAGAGATCAAATAAAGCAAGTGAATATGGGAAAATCATATTATGTCTTAGACCCAACCACTTCACTTCTCCTATAAAACACCCCTTTTCTTCATATTTTAGATACCAATTAATCCCCTCTTTTATATACACTTTATTCTTGTAATTTAGGTAGTCTTTTGAGCTTGGTTTTGCTACTTTGAAGCTTAATGAATTGTAAGTTGTGAGTTATTCTCTTTAATCTTCTTCCTTGAATATTAATTAATTCATATTCCTATTTCATATTGATATTTTGAGCATTACTTAAAGGATCAACTAGTTTTGTTTCATATATTAATTATTACTAGAATCGATCGATTAATACGCTTGTTATTAATTCGGTCCTTTCACGGTAGTAAACTTGGGTTGTTAATGCATGCATCTCATGGTTAATAACCGAAGGGGAATTAATTATATTGATTAAACCGATAAACCGCTTGTGTTGAAGTTATCAATCTCAATCATTTTCATCTTGATTTTATTGCTATTATCAGATTAATATATGACGCGTGTTCTATTAACTCGGTAGTAAGTTTTATTAATGAACGCGTCTCGTTATTAATAACTATCCTCGATGAATTGGATATACTCCTCGATTGAGTATTCGAGAGGAAGATAGTTAAAGATATAATCGGGATCGACGAACATTTCATTAAGTGGATAAAAGCAAAACCAAGACTAATTACCTTTGATATTTTATTTCACCCATTTAAGTATTTTATGTGCTTTCTCAATTATCAAAATATTCAATTCCCTATTCTGTTTACTTTTATTTATTACGCTTACACATATGCGAAAATATTCTTTTCCTGTGGATACGAACTCTACTACTATACGTTATAACTACAGTATTAGCCCTTAGTATTGAATTTAATTTGAGGCACACTACGACAAAGTGCACGTCAAATTTGGCGCCGTTGCCGAGGAAAGGCTACCCTTTTTAACTGTGTGTTTGTGTAATT